TGAACCTACGACCTCTTGATTAGAGGCATATGTCAATTACCTCTGAACTATGCTCGTTTTGGCGATTAAGACATTTATTATAAAACTAAAATATCGAAGTATAGATCCATAATCTCGTATGTTTTTGAACCAAAACGAAAAAATATATGGATATATTAATCTCTTTTATAAAGTGAGGGCATTAAAACTGATTTTAAAATATCACATCATTTTTTTTATTAAAAAACAAAGTAGATGGTGGACTAATTCGATCGCCTAAGAAGGGTTTGGACTTTCAGTGGGCTGGGCCGGAGTAACAGTAAGTAAACCCAAATGTGGGCCCAATGCTTGTTTGGGCCGACTTAACAACCGGGTTGGTCCATTATAGGTGTATTCAGCCCAATCATGACCTAAGCTACATACCAATTCTCCCCTTTTGTACCAACCAACCTGCTTTTTACCATCTCCAATGCCACGGTAAAAATATTTGGTTACATACTTACAGTTACAGTATCTTTTTTGTTCCTATGCTTTCAGTTTTAACATCTTTGTACTTCTTAAATTTTAATTATTACTGCTAGTATTTGATTAAACTGCCCCTTCAATGTTAACTTTTGAGTAAAACAAATTAACACAGTAAATGATTATAATTAAAGTCTAAACGTTGTTTTATTTATTTTTAGTACACCGACTAAAAGAAATTAGTCTATATCAATAGAAGTTCTTTGGTCCTTCTCATAAGGTGTTGTGACTCAACTCTCAATAAATGATTATCCTTTTCCTTGCACTTACCAAATAGTAATTTTAAAACTACGAACTTTATAATATTTTAATTACTGGTATTCAATTTCACAATTTCATTCATAGTTTAATTTGCAAAAAGAAAAAAAAAAACTCTATCCTTCCAAAAATTCCAATACCACTTTTAAAATTCATAAATATTTCAAAAATATAAATTTTCATAAAATTTTGAATGAAAAATTGACGTGGCATAATCTAAAACGACCAGGCAATTAACTTAAAATTTGTGTGAATCAAATCATGAAAGAGAAGAAATGTGGAGGAATTAGAACAAAATTAGATAGACAATAGAGAAATAAACTCTCTAGATAACGGAAAAATAAACTCTCTTGAGAATGGAAGAAGAAAAAAATTAGTACGTCCATGACGTCCATTCCTACGTCATTTCAGATTTTGTCATGCCAATTTATAATATTGATGGAGGTTTGTTTAAAGGGTATTTTCAAAATTTTTATAAAAGATAGTAAAGTAATTTTTGAAATATAGGAGGTAGGGTATTTCCCTTTTAATTTAGCCTAAAATATAAGTATGAAGTATCCAAGCTAAATTTAATTGAAGGCTAGACTATGGAGGCTTAAATTATAATTTAACTAAAATGAATTTACGAAAATGAACTAGTAAGAAAAGGGAAAAAAATAAAATAAAAGAAACAATGAACATATTAAGGCTGAAAGTTTGAACCAGTCACTTTCTCGTGGTCCGAATCAGATACAATGTCATGGTTGGCGCGCTCCATAGCCAACACCCTCAGACTCGAAGACGAAGAAGACGATGAGAACGACGTGGTATCCCCCATTCCCTCCGATCCAACTCTTTCTCCGTCTTCCACTCCTCGCCACCTCCATCACCACCCACGCGGCCTCACCCAGCCCCAATTCCATGATGAACCATTATCTCCATCTCGTGGCGTGAGAGAGGATTTGACCGAATTCAAGCAAACCCTAACCCGCCAATTGTGGGGCGTCGCCTCCTTCCTTGCTCCGCCGCCTCCTGGTTCCTCTTCGCCTTCCCCTCACCGCCCCATCGAGGATCTAGCCGGCCCTCCCGATCGGAAACCCTCCATCTCCGGGGCCCAACACGACCTGTCCGATCCGGGGGAGGTCTTGAAGATGCGTTCCGATTGTGATGCGTATGCGTCGGGGGATTTCCAGGAGGAGTACTGCGAGGATGGTTGGGGAGACGCTGTTGGGATCACCGATGAAGTGCTGACGTTTGCGACGAACATCGCAATGCACCCCGAGACGTGGATTGATTTTCCGATTGACGAGGAGGAAGATAATGACGGTACGTCTGTTTTGTTAATTGTGCTATCCAATTCAAAATGTAAATGTAAGTCCACCGCGAATGATCTTGAGCAGCATTGTTTTTAATTGACATTTTCAAAATGACATTAGAAGGTTTCGAACTAGCTGTTTGGAATCCTTTTGGAAACCCATCTCCTTGAATGGAGACTTCAATAAAATAGAACAATTGGATACTCGGGTGTTCCGTTCTTTTGGATCTACAGCACTGGGGATGCTAGAAATTTATCTTGGGATGTGTCAAGTGTTGCAATGAGATCACAGGAATCCTAATACAATAGATGGATATTAAGAAATTTTGATTTAACTTAGTTAGCTTTTTTGGATTTCAGGATAGTATTTTTGGATCATGCCTCTGCTTTTATATTTATATGGCCTCTGTCACCTCAGTTTTTAAGGCCTGGGCATGGGCTTACTTAAAGCTGCAGTATCACGTGCAATTTGGAAATTGTGGGCCTGCAGTTGTGTGTCATTCCTCGTATTTTCCTTCTTTGACGTTCTGGTTCCTATTTTTTCTGCTTCTCGATGTCTATTGCTTTATTAAATCATGATAACCATTACCTTTTTCATGGTCAGAAGTCGTAATATTGTGGTTCCCTCAGGGCTGTACAGCACTTACATTTGCTTATTTCTATTCATGTATACTTTCCGAATCAAACTCGTTCACTAAGGTGCCAATCCACTTAATTTTGTGATGGGAAGGTTAAACCCCGATTTTGTTTATTCACACCAGGTGAAAGCTATGCGAGTCTAAGTGAGAGTTTTGTTGTTATGTTATGCAATGTGTGAGTTTGTCCACTGTCAGAGAATCACCTGCATGTAGGGTGTGGCGTGTATGTATCCTTTACATGATACGGGACCCCTTTTTCTAACGAACTTACAATGACGGGGGATACAAAGTAGTATGTTGAGGGAGAGACTTAGGCCTCTTCAAAACCTGGGAACTTGTTGGTTTTCCTTCATCTATCAATAGAATTGGCATACCACAGATTATATTTGAGGTCCTATTAATTGGGTCCATTTATTGTGCAAATATGATGTTTCAGTTTTATACAATAAAGTATGATCGAGTTATTTGAACTTTTTAATATTATAAGTCGTACTGAATTTATCATAATCCCATCTTATATACTTGGATATAAGATGAATTGAGAAAGAAATGTTATAACGTGCTCTACTTACTAGATTACATATGCTGACTTTTGAATGACGAATTTGGACTTTGTTGTTGTTTAACTATCTGTTTTTATGATGTTTTTCACATTGTTGAACCCTGTGTATTTACATCTTTAGACTCTTCTTTTTCTTGTTTTAGATCTTGAAATGTCYGATGCCCAAAAAGAGCATGCTTTCACTATTGAACGTCTTGCTCCTAGATTAGCTGCTCTCAGATTTGAGCTGTGTCCTTGCCATATGAGTGATAGTTACTTTTGGAAAGTCTATTTTGTGCTCCTGCATTCAAGACTCAATAAGCATGACGCTGAGGTTTTATCGACTCCACAGGTTGACTACTCTTTCTTTTCTTTATATTGTAAAATTCAATGCAACCTTGTCTAGGTAAACTATGTAATTTCTATATTGTTACATGGTTGGCATGATCATTCTAATTATTAATTTAAGGTCCCGTGTATATTCGAACTGTGCACAAAATGACCCAAATGCCATGGTTACAGAAAAAAAAATATTACTTCCATATGAAGTTCAAACATGTATTTTACTGTTTTAATCGAGTATTATTATAGTTCCTTTGATTGAAACGTTATGTCTTCCAGCAGTATAAGGATTCTTCAAACATTGTAGGTTGTAGCAGCCAGATCAATGTGGATGCAGGAATTACAAAAGCAGACCAAGCCAGAAGCTTACTGGTGTGGTAGAGACACTTTTGAATTGAAAGACAGCTCTGGTGTGCTGCAGGAACATGGTATTTCCATGGCATTCCATGATACTCATTCAGGATCTACGCTGCCTTGGACATTTACATCCGAGCCAAGCACGTCATCCACGTCAAGCAATTATGAGACAGAGAAATACCTAATAGAGAGTTCTGAAACACAATTCATTGATAAGTCTGTTATTGTCGAAAAACCTTCAATTAAGAACGAGGATAGAAGCTCGATGATTGGGTCTTCTGCAAAATTCCTTGTTCAGAACTATGAGGACGAGTCAGATAATGACTGGCTAGAGGAAGACTCGGAGTTGGGTGGTTGTAATGCGGCCATCCTCCCTCTGGAGAATGATGAAGATATTTCCTTTAGTGATCTCGAGGATGATGATATGGTTTTGCCATCTAAACTCAAGATTGCTTCAAAAGAATAGGGAAATTTGACAACCAAAATTAGAAGGAAAAAAAATCAAGATGTTGCTTCCGGTTGTGTATCTGGTGAGGCTAAATGAACTTGTACAACGTCGTCTGGCATGATTGTGGGGCTTCATATGCCGGTCCAATAAAGCCATCTGATGTTGCTTTCGTGGGTGTGTTTGTAAATGAGATCAACGAACATTCCAATTTGGAAGAGTGTATCTTGATGATGTGTTTTCTGTTTGGTTTCTTGTTTGGGAATTGTGTAAAGAATGTATCAGTAAATAGACAAAAGGGGAAAGATATAGATTCTTTTTGTTCCATAAGATCTCCCTTATCAGCTTGCGTAAGGTCAGGTGTGCCCAAATACTAAAAAAAGAAAGCAACTTCTGTCAGGAATGGAGATTTCAGTGGAAGCTTTGTCTGACAGAAGAAACAGCCAACTTATAACAGCCACAAGAGGCAGCGAATTATGTAGCTGAGGCAGCTGATAAGAGGGTTCTGTTGGATTCAATATTTGCTTTCTTTGGAGGAAATTGCGTCCATCACAGCCACAGGTACCTACAAAGCGACCATAATGGACCATTTTTTTGATTTTATTGCTGTACTTTAACCTCCCTACTCCATAAAGATATATACAGCTTTAGTTATCATATTCATAGAAAGGCCTCTGTTCCAATCCTTTTGGCGTAGGAATGCAAGTTGGTGTATTATTTTATAACTGGAAATTTAGACCAAATTGGTTGGTTGGTTGGTCTGTTTGATTGTTTGTTTTGTAATTTGTAGAAATTGAAAGGAAACGTAGTGACCACAACCACTGTGGATGAGATTTGTTGTTGGGGTGAGGAAGAAGACAAAAAAGATAGAATTTGTAGAAATTGAGGATGTGGTCTGTGGAGGAGGAAAGTGGGAAGGAAGAAATTATATGGCAAAAAAAGTGTGTTTTTTTTTTCTTCAAGTTAAAATAATTGGCAACCACTCAGTTGATGTCCAACGCACAAATTCAGCATTTAATGATGAAATTTCGAAGTTATGGAGGAAAGAGAATCAGCAGGAATTTCCAAGAAATTAACCATTAAAATTGCATCGGATATTGTTTGTCTTGACTTTAATGGATATTTATTAAAGCTCCAGAAGTAAAGGCATATTTGTATAATTTAAACTTTTCACTCTGGGAATAAATGTACGCGCCCTTAGAATAAAAGCTATTTACATAAATAGCATGATACAAATTTTTTTGAACTTTTACAAGAAAAAAAAACATAAGCCAAATGAAATAAAAGGTCGAATATAATGAAATAAAAATACATGTAGAAAAGTCAAACTTAAGCTATATTAAAAAAAAAAAGGAAAAAAGGAAAAATAGGGAATTTGTGATAGGTGATTAAAATATTTGTTACCTTTGCAAATATAGCAGCAAATTTTGGATTTTGCAAATATGGTTAAATGAAATCTGATTTTTTGTCTAAAAAAAAGAAATTTGATTGATTGATTTATTTATTTTGATTTTACGCCGCCAAATTTTCAGATATATCAATGGATCAATGGTGTATATAATATCATTCATATATCAACTTTTTATCGTATCACCATTTATAATAACATATATCAAAGTTATTTATTCCTTCAGTAACGTAACAAATCATATATACCAAAGATATATCAGCATTCATATTAGGTATATGATACATACATTTACGTTATAAAAGACAGACATTTCATCTAAAATCCGAAACGTAACAGAATAAAAGGAGGTAATATATTGGGCATATTATTGTTGTCGGTTGGAATTTTATTTTATTTTATTTTTTTTCGCGCATGGGATGAACTTTCAAATTTTGCTATTTTTCAAAACCGATAACTGATTGCTACTTTTGCAAATGTCTATTTTTGTTGTTGTTAATGTTGCAAGCACCCCTATTTTAAAATGCATATTAAAATTATGCTATTGATTGAAATTTCTCTCGTATAATATATCCCTTAAAAATATATACTAAACTAAAATGGTGGATCATGTAAACTTTTAGATAATTTTAAAATAAAATACTAATTTAACATTGCCATAATTAATTTTTTATTTATAAATTAGGGTTTAAAAATTATATCAGTAAAATTCTTATTTTGTTACGAGCATCTAAATATACAAAATTCAATTAAATTGATTAAAAATTTTGTTTAATTTCGAACAAAATAAACAATTTAAAAATATTTCAATTCCAAATCATTCTGATTGGTCATCTGCGGTTAAGGTGTTGCCGTATACGGATGGTGAACGTATAACCGATCTGAAGATGAACTCCGTATTTTATGACGAAAGATCCAATTTTACATAAATTCAATTTTTATTTGTGAAAAACAGATTCCATTCTATCGAAAAAAGGATCCGATTCCCGAACCCCAACGCTCATTTCAAGCCAATCACCTGTTCTCTCCTCCCTTCCCTGTTCTGTAGCTGTTGCCACTTGCCGCCAATTAAATTTCTCAGAAATTTGGCCGAAATCTTCCAGGTTTGCGTTTGACCCCATAATCTCATCGATTCGTACCATAAGCAGGTTTGCGTTTCTCGGGTCTAATTCTAATCGCTCTGTTCTATATATCGGATTAGCGTAACGGAAACCCAGCAATTTTCTCTCATTCCCCCTCTCCCCTCTCTCTGTGTTGTGCCATTTTCTTACAGACCCCATCAATATCAAATCTGGGCTTCGCTTTCATTTGGGTTCTAGGGTTTTTTTGAATCTCGCTCTAGCTTTTTGAATTTTCTGCACATGGATTCTGCACTGGTTAGAGGGGGCTTGGGATTCTCTCAGAGAAGAAAGAAATGGCTTATTCTGTTGGCTGTGATGGGGGTCTCTGGTTACGGTGCTTATAAGGTCTATCATTTGCCCTCTGTCGAGAGGAAGAGGAAGAGGCTGATGAAGCTCTTTGGCGCCATAATTTCCGTGGCCGAAATGGTGGCGGATTCTTCAGAAGCCATTGGAGTAGTTTCTAAGGACTTGAAGGAATTTCTGAAATCTGATTCCGACCAAATTCCCAACAGTTTGAAACAAATTTCTAAAATTGCAAGGTCGGAGGAGTTCTCGGAGTCTGTTGAAAAGGTCACTGAGGCCTTTACGGTTGGGATGATGAGAGGGTATAAATCTGTGACAAGGAATGAACAAAATATGGAGGCTGGTTCAAAGAATTCCAGCTTTGCTGCTGGTGTAGTTGAGAAGCTTTTCTCAACAGCTGGGACTGGTTTTGCTTCTGTTGTGGTTGGAAGCTTTGCGAAGAATCTGGTTATGGGGTATTACTCAGTTCCTGGATCAGCTGATGATGCAAGTCGAAATTTGCAGACAGGTGCTTACGAATCTGGATCTGAAGTTTCAGAGGTGCCCAGATGGGTAAGTGTGGCTGCCAATGAGAAATGCAAAAATGTTATGGCAGATTGTATACAAGTTTTTGTTAGTACTGCCGTTGCTGTATATCTCGATAAAACCATGGATGTTAATGTGTACGATGAACTATTTAGTGGATTGACCAATCCCACGCATCAGAACAAGGTGAAGGACATGCTTGTTTCTATTTGTAATGGCGCTGTGGAAACACTGGTAAAAACATCTCACCAAGTACTTACTAGCTCACAGACGAGTTCAAATTTGAGTCCCGTTTCATCCTGTAATGGACTGTCCAAGATAGGAGACGACCCTTTTTCTGAAGAAGAGTATCCAAAGAGGATTGCTGTGGCCAACTCAATTGAAGGTAGCCAAAGTGATTGGGTGGGCAGAGTTTCATCTACTTTGGCAGTTCCTAGAAATCGGAAGTTTGTGCTTGATTTAACTGGTAGGGTGACCTTTGAAACAACACGATCTGTTGTGGAATTTTTGCTGTGGAAGCTAATGGATGGTCTGAAGAGAAGTCTTGATATAGTTCATGACGAAGTTGTGGGTAGGGGATTGGAAGTCATTAGATACTTCACTGCAAAGTCCTCTGTTATTGTTACAATTTGTCTAGCATTGTATCTACATGTTTTTGGTGGCACCAGACTTCTGTTACCTGCATAATATAGCGGGATGCAGTTCATGCCACATAGATAGAAAGTATATACCATTGTTGCATTTTGGGGAAGTTTTGTACTTTCTCGATATCATTCAAATTTTAATGAAAATGATACTTTAGAACTGATGCATATGTTGATGCATAAGTAGCTTCCATGATCCTCTCTCTGTCTCGTCTGTGTCCCACTCTGATGTGCATTCTTACAATGAGTGTGCCTAGCCCTTATTGTTGGAGCAATGGGAATCTAAATCTCGGAATGAAATTGCTAGTATCTTTCGTCTTTACCGTCGACGATTTATTTCACTTTGCATGATTTCCGAGGTCATGTCAGTTATGGGGGAAAAGTAGCCAAAAAGACACTATTTCTTAGAATATCTAATTTGCTTTACTGCAATAATATAAAGGTCACGAGATAACTCAGATTGTCTGGTTTCTCTACAAGGTGCTTTTGGATATATTCTAATATTGTTGAGAGTCAATTTCCTCATTGAGCCGTCTTGATGCAAATGGCTACATGGCTTGGAAGCATAATGCAATGGCATATGTCGTTTGGATAACTCTTTGGATCATGGAAAGTTCACAATGATTGATGTAATGTCTCTCTCTCTCTCTCTCTCTCTCTCAACTTAGCATGTGGTACTACCGACATGTTTTTTATTTCTATTTCTTAAAAGATGTACAAGTTTCCTCTTCCTAAACCAACTTTCAGCAGCACATAAAGATTTCTTTTATTTCAATCTTAAATGTTCTACGATTCACATAATTAACTCCACACAACTGATTTTCATTTTTCACCCATTGCCCCACTCCTTGAATTTACCTCATGATTGTGTTGTGCAATTTTAGCAGATTTTTGCACTTATCTTCTGGCTAATGAGTTTGGTTATCATCTACTTTATGTTCAGCCACGTGTTACTGAAAACTCGCAAGTTCTTGTGAATAACTCTGTATCGCTTTAACATTCCTCCCCATGGCATCCTGATATCGTAGCAGCAAGCTTATGGGATCAGATACAATAAAGATTAAAAATATCAGGATGAGTAATCTAGAAACAAGGATTTTTGTTCGAAAAAGGTTTAGTAAAATGATCTTTCTGAAAATAATGTTAACAAAATAGGAATACTACCATGGAGAATGGAGATTATTAGTTATACTTTCTTCAATTTGAGTTTCAAGATGTTGAGGCGCTTCAGAAGATCACAACTGGAGGTAATTGCTTCATTCCAATCTTTGTTTTCTGTCATATGCCGATGTTATCTTTGTATATACTGATTCTTGTTTCAAGTGTCAATGATCCAAAATTATCTGTACGCCTCTTGGAAGGTTCTCTCTCTCGTTTATTCGAGCATCTTGTAACAGTTAAAGCAGCAGAAGTCTTGACATCAAATAGTTGTGCCGCTGTGATCACGAGAATACTCAAACTTTAAGGAACCGAGCTCGCTGATCAGTTAGCTAGTTTGAACTGTTTGCAGATCACAAGGTAAATCTTTTTCTGAAACTAAATGGCATGTTCTTGATCTGGTGGGGCTTGCGCATGGTCTTGAGATATGCATTGCGGCAGTGGGTTCGAAACTACTATCGCCTTCAACCTCCTCAATATACACTACACAAACGCTGGCTCGAATTTCTTATGTATACATAGGTAAAGCTGTGTGCAATGAAAAATGCAAGCATGGTTCGAGGTTGGGAAATAAACAGTAATCTTGCATTGGCATTCCCACAAGCAAATAAGATGACTTTTCCAGACTAGGTTTAGTAGAAATTTCTCTCTTTTGTTAAAGAAAATCTTTACTCGGTAGGTTTGCTTATAGGTGTTAAGGTGGGTGGTAACCCCATGATGAGGTGCATTTTTACATCTGGGTCTAATCATTGCCTTCTTCCCAATTCTTTTATCTTTAATCTCTATTTCCCTTACCTTAATTTTTGCTGTAACATTTCTTTAATGTCATGCAGCTCTTTTATAATCATGCTTTCTAGTAATGGAGAAGCCAATGGATCATGATTTCTTTTGCCCATCATCTCCGAGAAACTGCCTGCCTGTGCCTCCTACTAACCTCAAATATATTGGAATGCATGCCACATTGTCTTCACTTTTTCATTGTTAAAAAAAATTAATTATAAGTTTGTTTCTAACTTTTAAAATTGTGTCTAAGATGTCTGATGTTGTGTTTAGTAAGTCTTTAAACTTTTAAAATATCTTATAAATCTCTCAACTTTCAATTTTGTATCTAATACATATTTGTACTTTCAATGTCGTTTCTTTTTAAAGTCTAGAAACATGTTAGATACAAAATCAAAAACTTCAAAATACCGTTTGACTTATCAAACACAAAACTCAAACTTCATTGACCAAATTTATAATTTAACCTTGAAAATGACTTCATTCTCCAACTCACTGGAAGTTTCTGGTATTTTGACTGATATTATTATTATGCTTCATGACTCCATATTTTGACAGAATTATGAAGAGAGAGAGAAAGAAGGTGTAGAAACTGAAGTGGGAAGGAAGAATAAGAGGGCAGGGTGCCAGCTACGAGCGGCGGCAATGCAGGCCCCAGAGGACTATTGGCTGAGGGGTATTCCTTAATCTTACAACTTGCTTTCATTTTTGCTTTTGTTTAATTGGCCCCTCATTTTGAATCTGTCTTTCTAATTGTATCTACTTGAAATTAACAAGGGGCCAAATCATGATTGGCTCTCCCACGCTCTGTTTAGCAACTTTTGTTTTTTCTCTTTCATAAACATCTTTGTTTGAGTAGACTAATTTCCACTCTCTTTCGGTAATTTTAAACACTGTCTCTCAAGGGTATACTTCAAAATTCATCCCTTAATTATTAAAACAGGGAGATGCTTCTTTGGATCTTATAAGCTTATAGCTTGTAGCTTTCAAAACTCCTCCTCTGTCTCTGTGTCTCTGTTTTCTCTCTCTGATCATAGACGCAGCTTCAAGCTCCATTTTCATGGCCGCGACTACTTCCAGTTGCAGTGGCTTCTTCTCCATCAGATCGAATTCTATGGAGCCAAGAGTGAGAACTTCTTCACCTAGCCATGGCTCTCCAGCATGTGGGAAGCTTGATGGGGTGGCAACTTGGCTCATCAATGGCTTTGTTACTGCTTTCTTTGGATCTCTGGATCGTTGCTCGTGTATCCGTATCGCCACAGCAGAGGACGATGGCGATGAGGCGAACGATGTCCCCTTGATCCCGAACGACGGGAACCTACGACAGGATGGTGCTGCCGCCGGCCGGAGGAGGGCCGGGAAAGGCAAGAAGTGTAAGCTTCTTGTAGATTCTGTCTGATGAACGAGCTGCTTCTTGTCTTGTATAATTCAACTCAAAAAGCTCCTCTTTTTCTTTGGCAAGTGACATAAAGGAGCTCTCATGAATCTGAAAAATTTGCTGCTGTTTCTAGTTTTGTGGAGATGAAATCAACCAAATTACTTATATTTATTTACTGCTCTTCCATTT